GGGGGGCGGCAAACAAGAGCCCAGCAGCCCCATCAGTGCCAGCCCCCCAGGGCCACAGCCCCCAACGCACCCACACTGATGTCACAGGGTGCCCCATGACATCACCAGGCACCCCATGACATCACCAGGCACCCTACATGTGCCCAAGGGGCTTATTTCAGAAGTGTCAGGTATGATGGAATTCACACTCACGTGGTTGCATTTATTGTGCATAAACTTCAGTCACATGTACTGCTTTTCATAGAAACCATACAAATCAGTATTCACAGTTGCATCAAAACCTGAGTTCTAAAACCAAAAGGTTTGCATCCCTCACAAGTTTATAATAAAATCCTGGCTGTGTTTTTCAAGGAAAAACAGTTAAAGGGGGAACAGCCTTTAGTGTTAAATAGCAGCAAAGTCTCCCCATACATTTCCTTCAAGCTGGACAACTCCGGTGTTTGTTACGCTGGCAGTCTGAAGGTTTGCCCCAGGATCAGAGCAGATGAGCTGGATTCTTGCCTGTATTCCCACAGGAGCAGTCCTGCTTTGAGCCCTCTTCCTCAGGGGTGATCCCTCCCAGACCCACTGCAGAGATGCAGGGCAGTAGTTCAGGGCACAGGGGTTCTCAGCAGTGAGGAGCAGAGAGGCCCCAGCCCCACCACCAGCCACTAACCCCATGAAATGCAGGGGTCCTCTACAAGTTTTGACCCTCATCTCCTGCCAGAGGTGGGTTTTTTGCTACTTGTGTCTGTGCTTTGGCAGCAGGATGCTTTTTCAAATTTATGAAGAATCAACATGAGCCAACAGCACAACTGTGACAACATCTTTAGCAGGATCTACCCTCACACTGCTCAAACCTAAGGGTTTAGATCTCATCAACATGAGTTGATTACCAGTTTAATAGAAGGGGGGTTTTCTGCCTCTGCTTAGTTCAATATGGAAAGTAACAGTCCTGTTTAGTAGTAACTAACAATTTTAGCAACAGAAATGTCAGTCCTCAAGATCCCTTTTCAGAGTTTTAAAGCCAGAATGCTGAATAGCTGCTCAAATTGCTTATCATGACCTTGTTACCTACCACACATTCAGATGCAAAATTTGGCATTCTAGGGCACCCCTTTTTTAAAAAAGTCATAAGCTGGGTGCCAATTTCCCCACTAATATAAGCTACATTTTTATTCATTTTCCTGACAAATGAGGAAACAAGACAGCTCTAGAAAACAGGTTATCTGCTTTGAACAGAATTACTGATGTTCACCACTTCAAATAACTGGAAACATGACACAATGACAGAAGACACCTAGTCTCAGCTTCAGCCAAGACACACTCTGCACAGTTTGTTTTTCTAGAAAAGAGTTTGTGTTCTAGAAATAAAATTCTCTGGCTGTTTGAAGCTGAAGTGTTGTAACAGAGCTAGATGATAGCAAGAGCTGAACAAAGTTAAACCGTTACCTCAGGTTCAACTTTAATCTATTGGAAATTAAAGTCCTCAAACTTCCAGAACATGTTTCCAGACTGGTAACTGGGGGTGGGGATGCAGCAATGCCAGAATATGTCCAGTTGTAACAGGTGTTCAGTATATGCAGAACTCACTTCCAGCCTGACAGGCTTCTATCACAAGGTGTGGAAGATGAATCATCTCATGGGGTCATCCATACAACTTGGGTTGCTTCAGACTTCCTCTTGAGCTGCAGCAGCAGTTTTCTAAATGCCTTTAAGTTTTGATTTGCTGGGATGTTAGTGCCAATAGTCTCTTGCTGAGCAGTGCATTGTGTCGCTGAAGGTACTCGATTACATCTCCTTGCTTCTCAACTATCTCTTCTAAACTTGAATTTTCCCTTGGAGAAAAAACAAGGAAGTTTTAGTTATTAGTTATTAAAGAAAAGATGGAAGCTTCCTAACAGACCAGAAAATTACTGACTTGGAGAACTCCTCCTTCAGCTTTGCTTTTGTTGATCTGGACAGCTTTAGTGAGGAGGTAGCCTGCAACACTTAGAAGTTTTAACCTGAATCACGCATGACAAGGCAGGAAAAGAAGGGTTAGCTACCTCTGTGCCATGTTCCATGAGCAAGAGTGAGATTTTTGGCTAGACAGTTACAGAAAAGTTAATGTCAGCACATTCATGCTGCAAGTTTGTAAAACAGCAAAACCAGCCTATGCAGTAACATCATAAAGCAAAAAGCCCACAACACCTCTTGTCAATGAATTAGGAAGCTTTAAGCAAACTGCTCGTGATGTCTATAGCCAACAACAGTATTAAGATAACAATTTCTTCATTAGTCCATAATAGCATTTGAGGACCGTGATACTGTCACAGTAATGTAACAGCAGCACCCAGCACAGGCAGTATTTTGTATCTGCACTTTGCAGACTCACATACAGCTTAGCCTCTGCTTAGAACATCTTCAGCTTTCATAAATGTTCCCATTAGACTGTGTTTAACAGGACACTGCATTGTTAAGTAAACCAAGCAGAAAAAATATATACGTTAAAAACACACACTTCAAAGGTTCATTTTTTTTAAAAAAATATTGTTGCTCAACTGAAGAGAGTCTTGTGGATAAAAACTTGTTGTTCACAGCCTTAACCAGAGTTACACTACCAGCTTCAAGCAGAAGGGCTCAATGAGAAGCTTAGATGGCAGAGGTCAGGCGATTCAGAAAGCATTCTTAGAACCAGGGTCAACCACAGGGCTGACAGGATTCACTTTTCAATAGACCTTAAATCACCAGGGAAAGAAAGAGCCAGAGTTGTATAGACCTGGATTAAAATAACAGCGCTCTCAGGAAGCGTGCACTCTTTAATCAAAGGATCAGAGCCTTTTCCTCAGCCGGTCTCCACACTTGCCCAATTGTTTTGTAGGTGCTCGAGGATTTCTCAGGGGAGAGGCTGAATGGGGAAGCACTGAGGTCCCCCATGCAGCCACTGCTGTTGATATCAAGATGCAAGCCCAACATTGTATCAACATAATCAGGACAACTCTAAAGCCTTCCTGTATCCCACACTTCCATTTGTGAGTTCCCTGAACCCCTGTGCATGTTCCATTTGTGCCACCAGGGCAAGTAGGAAGTAGTCACCTCTAGACTTCTGCAGCTAAACTTGTAAGAAACAAGATACTGTACAAGAAAATTTGGAGACACTCTTCCAGGCAAGCCCAAGTTAGTTTTGGGTTTTTACTGAGCCCTATCAGGCTCATTTCAGCAGCTGGAAGGTGTGCATCTTCTGATTGCCTGGCCCAAGGAGACAGGCAGTCTCAGTGTTTGCATGGCCAATGTTGGAAAGCTCACAACTTTCTTCCCTCTTAAAGGACACATCCTGCCTTTTACAGTTCTTTCCCAAAACCAGAAGTACACTCCAAATCCCTTGTTCCACCACTAGAATAAAACACAGCTCAAAGCTACCTTATTCATCTACCAAGGGGAAGCAATACATTTGCTTGAAGGAAACAGCTGAAGCCAGGCTTCTCTAGGCATGCTTTAAGTAGCAGTATTAACACACTATATAGGAGTTTGAGGACAGATGCTAAAGTCAACCAAAATAGAGCAAGCACAGCTATTTACAGCACATTCAAGATTTTTGCAACCAGCCATAAATGGTCCAATCATTTCCACCCTTCTGTGTGAAGATTTTTCATAAAGAATTGCCATACTAGGTATACAGCATAAAACACACACAGGAAAAGTAGTGGTAGGAAAATTACATGTTCAAGATGCTTTAAGAATTAGTATCCTCACCTCTGTTTGGGTTGACAGACTTAAGACTACACACAAGTCTGTACAGAAACTAATGCAATTCTGTTGTGTGCAAGCCTTGTCAACCATAATATGCATGTAACATTAACAGATTAATACAGCAAGTCTTACCTGAATCCTGTTTCTGAGGTAATGTGACTGGGGTAAGCATACATCTTCTCTTCTTCAATTATATCAGGTCTCGGCTTTGCACGATTGAAGTTGCTTATTTTCACTGCAATCAAGTTTCATAAAGTAATTGTAAAAGCAAAAGAATTCAAGATTTATCATTAGGCTACAATATAAAAAAACTACCCTCCTGAAGAAATTCAATGAGCTTCCCTTAAAATAGGCAATAAAGGCAATAAGGCAATTTGGGGAGTAGGAAGAATAGAAAGAAAAAGCAGAATCATCTAAGGTGGCTTTGATTATGAGTTAGGAAAGTCTGTCTTTCTGTTCTGCTGCTCAGACCAGAAGTGAAGATACGAATGGGGAACCTTAAGTATTGCTTAACATCCACAGAGCTGAGCCTGGCACCCAAGGGAGGAATACAGCTTAATGGCCTTGGAGCCATGAACAGCTTCTGTGGGGCTGACTGAGCACTGGCACAGGCTGCCCAAGGGGTTGTGGAGTCTCTGCCCTTGGAGACCTCCCCAAGCCACCCTGAGTCCTCCTGTAGCTGATCTCTAAAGGTCCCATCCAGCCTGGGCCATTCTGTGAGAGGCAATGGAGAGTCAGACTCTGATTTGGGGCCATATCTAAGCAAAAAAGCAATAAAGTGCAGCAGAGTTTTGATTCCAGTATCTAGCTCAGCACTTCATTTCAACTCCTTCCATGATCACAGTTTTAACAAGACTACCTGCTATGAAGCAGGAGCCTGTCTGCCTGCTCAAAACCAGGACAGAGTTGCTATAGAAAGTCACGAGTTACTCTGCCCAGAGAGGCTCTCTGTGGTCAGCTGCCACCACAAGGTTGGCTGCCGAAGACCCAAGTCATTCATGGGCACCTGAATAAGGCTTAAAATCATATTTAACAGGCACAGAATGGGGAGGTGGGGAAAAGCTGTAGGTATCCTCTGCATATTTCTGGATGCAAACTGAAAACATCTAAAACTACTCCATAGTAGACAGGGAATTACACAGGGGGGGTACACCAGGGAAACCCAGAATGTACATTCTGGTCTCTGTAGTCAGGGCTGCTTGTAAAGAAATCTAACACTACTAAAAACAGATCCTTCTGGCTCTGAGAAATCCACATAAACGCAGAGAAAGTCAATAATACAGTAGGGTTTATTACAGGCCACCCTGATAAAACAATGCCAGAGCCTCCAGAGGTTAGCTACACGTTGGGCTCAAAGGTTAGTTATTTCTGTGACTGTATTCCTCCACAAAAAGCCACGGAGGAATAGATGAGGAATTTCCAACATGCTTTGTTTGTGGGAATATTAGTCTGCTATTCAAGTGATATTAAAAGCACACAGGAAAAAGCCATTAAATGCATATATTCAGCAAGCCTTTGAAAGCTCGGCCTCCTACTCTGTCAGTGAACTTAACATTAAATTGATATTTAGAGCACTTGGGTTTATATGCACATTTATCTCACTTGAAAGATGTATAGATGTATGCATGTCAAGTCTACAAGTCATTCAGAATAATTCCATGTAGACTTCTCACTCCCTCCGAATTCTAGACCTACACATCTGTTATGTATATTGCCAATGGGAGGACAGGCAGCTGTCCTTAATACTGTGCATCAAGTCACAAGATTGCTCCAATAAGTAAAAAGGAGTCCTTAGAACTACCATTAGGTAGTCCACACTTTCACTTTTGTTTGGGAGGCATTAAATATTGTACTAAAACAAGATAAAAGCAGATACATAAGCCTGCTATAGATAAGGATTTACATCTCACTAGGATTTACATCTCACTAAGTTTAGAATTAACTGTTCTGCAGAGGAGAAAAGGCCTGCCTGAACCCTGACACTATCCGGAAAGCTTTAGGAGCAAACAAGCCAGCACAGGTCAGTGCTTCCAGTGAGAAGTGAGCCCAAACCTCCTCCCTCCCCAGCACTGCTGCTCCTCCAGCTGCAGAGCTCCATTAGCTGCCAATATCTCAACATGAGCAGCGGCTGCTAAGTGCTTTCCGTGGAGAGGAGCACTCCAACAGCAAATAGATGCCTCCACTTAAGAGCACCCAACTAAGGAGGCTTAATGCTTCCAGGCAGTCTGCTCTGTCTCACAGACAAGGCTGATGGCCACTAGTAACCACAGGTTCCCAGGCAAAGACATTTGTTTGGCCTCAGAAGAGCTTTAGCTGAACAGATACCCAAACAGACAGATACAGACACAGAGACGGTTTCTTAGCCTTACTTCAAGGCACATTGGGATGAAAAACAAGATTGAAAAAGGCAATCTAGGGAGATTAATGGAACTGAGTGCTTGCCTCAAGATGAGTGATCTCTAATTCTATCTGTGCACACTAAGCTTTAGAGAGGGAGGCTCAGCCTGCAGCTTTGGCTGCCGAGGAAGCAAGGTGACACAGCACCAGAAGGGGACACCCAGCAGTGCCACTGTCCCCTCTCCACCTTTGCTCCGGCGCCTCCCAGGTCCCTGTTTTCCAGCCTCCTCCCATCCACATCTCAGGCAGGTGAGCTGTTCTAAGAACACCCCAAGCTTCATGCTAGGAAGGGGTAAGCAGAGGCATGAGGTGAGCACTGGAGCCAGGACCATACAAGGGAGGACAGCGGATCCTTCTGGTGACAGGCAGGAAGGTGGGCTGGAAGCTTCCACAGGAACCCAGGCTCAGAGCTGGCTACAAGGGCCAACTGTCCTCCAGCTGTGGAAGCTGCTTCTCATGGAGATAAACCACGTACTCTTAGAGCTACAAGGGGCTTCAGAGTAAGGAATACTGCTCCCTGGAACTCTTGTGCTCCAGTTAGAGCTTTAACTTGCCTCTATTCTGTCCTCGCTTGCCCAGGAAAGGACGCCTATGTCAGGAGAGAATGATGTCTGCCATTCTTGCACTGATACCCTGGAACTGCTGTGCTTATGCTTTGACACCAGGTTATGATGCTGAAGACAAGTTAGCCTACTCTGGCAGCACTGCTGTGTTCAAGGGAATACCCAACAAGCCAATACAACTCAGCCCTTTGCACAGTTGTAGGTGCAGCTCTAGAGCTGCAATCTTATTTCCTGGTGTATTTTGATTTCAATATAGTTACAGGAATGTCAGGACTAGACTTCACCTCCAAGCTGAGGAATTTACTGGACAGTGTTTCTTAGTATGCCTTACATTAGGGAAAGGTTACATGAACAGGACAAATAATTATCATAGAAGTGGCTCTTGCTTTTAAGCTCCATG